GTCTAACTGGTACGATAGTTTCTGATCTTGGGGGAAGAACAATCTTATTTAAGAAGCGCACTTTACCCGACGATGCACTGTTCATAAAAAGTTCTGCTGAACTGCATTTTAAGATTCCCTGCTTGACATCAATCTCACAATGATGTTCCTTCATGAAGTCCAAGCCCAGAATGCAATCGTCCCTTATATCGGCAATGATAACCTTATGCCTATAAATCTTGTTGTCTAGTTGCAATTCTACCTCCTTCTCGCCTCGGACGGATATGTGCTGACTGGTCGCTGTTATAAGACGAATACGATCATGTCCACTGAAGTAGTCCCCAAGAAACTGATTTGCCAGTCGAGAACTGATGACCATGCGAGAAGCTCCAGTGTCCAATGTCAGCTTACATGGTGTTCCGTTAATTTTGCCTTGAATAATCAGGCTATTTCCATTGTGGGCTTGGGAGATCAAGATTTCTGGGGCTCCCTCAAAACCAGCCAGCACCCGCCCTGCAGTCCTGGCACTTACTCGTTTCCCTGCTGCCACTGCAGCTGGGTGGTGGTATCAGTCACCTCTAGCTTCTGAAGTCCATCCTCCATTCAGTCTCTCCCAAAGTGCCCTCGCTTTGGGCAATTCATCTGCAGGTGTCCCCTGGCTTTACAGTAGTAACACTGGGGACCTGTCATTACAACCTCCCTAACATGATGGGATCGATCATCGCGTCTTACTGCCTCCACCTCCAAAGCATGGGCCAAAGCATCCTTCAGAGTTTCATGATGTCCCAATCTGACAGCTGCTCGAACTTCTACATCGCGTATTCCATCTATGAACGCTTGTACAAGTAGTCCCTCAACCAATGCAGGTGAAGACTGATACGCTTTTCGGACCAGCTTCTCAACTTCCAATGCCCAGCACTGTAGAGTCTCGGCACTACGTTGCGCACGGTCCTTAAGCTGCGCCCGATACACGTGCTCAAGATGCTTGTCTCCATATCTGGACTCCAATGCCTCCACCAGTTGGTCATAAGTGACATCCTTACTGAGGGCCTCTAGTATAGTCAAGGCCTGATCGCGGAGGGCCAACGTGAGTGCTGTCATGGCCTGTGCTTTAGTCCATCCATTCATCCTCACCACGGCTTCAAACTGAATTTTATAAGCCGACCATGAAGATGTCCCGTCGAAAGGCGGTACTTTAAATCCATGTACTGCCGGTGTAGCTATAACGGGAGTGGCATTCCCAGTCTCAGATATGAGCTTGACCAAAGCTTTCTCAACATCTGTGATTTTCACTTCAGCTTTGGAAATTCGATTCTCATGCCGTTGTACCTGCTCTTCATGGTGCTCAACCTGCTTCTTGATTATTTTTAAATCGCTGCTAATCGTTGCATGCAGTTCCTTCAGTTGACGTGCCTGCTCTTCTTTGCCTCGCTGGAGTTCTTCTTTCATTTGACGTGTCTGCTCTTCTTGGCCTCGCTGGAGTTCTTTTTTCATTTGACGTGCCTGCTCTTCTTGCATATTTTTCAACTGATTGGTCTGCTCTTGCAACGCCACTAACAATACAGATAAGTCAAGCATAGCCAGTGCTGGAGTAGCGCCAGTGGTGCTGGCAGTTAAAACAGAGTCAGTTGTTTGCTGACCATCTAATGTCCAATCAGAAGATTCACTAAAACATCGCTGATCCATCACCTGTTGTCGCTGTTGACTTTGTGTACGAACCCTTCGGTGTCTTCTTTCGGCATAACCGGAATGATTCACATCGCACTCCTGACACCAATTTGTTACGAGCTATGGGGCTTGGGATATAAATTCAGAACACAGTATACCGAAACTGACACTTTTACTTAGATACACTAAAAAACAGAAACATTATATAACTCGTTAAAAGAAAAACACAAATTTTCTCGAACGTCCTAATTTTTCGAACTGTTCTTTTTTTCTTTTTCAAAAACATTCTTTTTTGTTTCGCCACTCTCCGCATCATGGTGCTAGTCTTTTTTTAGAGCCGGCACGACAGTATGAAGAAATTATGGTCAGTCTAATTTTTAAGTTTTATTGAAGTTTAAAAAGCTAAGGAGCTGTCCATGACATTTTTTCTTGAAATTTTAACTTCCCCTCCCTCCATTGTCCCAGTTTGTCCAAGTTTCTCAACCCCTTTGGACATCCAGTAAAATTCATCCTCCCTTAAAGTGTTTATAACTTTTATAAACTATAGATATCATAAGTAGAAACAATGGAATTTCATCCAAATTGCTCTTATAAAATTGCAACCTTTCTAGTAAGTTATAAAAGTGCTTTCCATAATACTATACCTCAATTATAAAATTAAAGCATTATCTTCAGAAACATAGGAAATAGAGCAGGGTATTTTGCACAGGTTTCATATGACCATCTTCATAAACCATGCTTAAATTGTTTAAAAAAATTAATCTTTTCATGTTCTTTTAAATATTTTTTTATAAACCTGATTTACATTTGTTTAATTATAGTTTACTTTACATTTGAGTGGATGCTCGTCAAGGAGACAGGTTAAAAAAGGTTACTGATCAATAAATCCTTCTATCTAGAACTTCATCTTTGGGTTGGAGAACCAAAAATAAAGTTCCAGATAGAAGGATACATTTGTCTTGCTTGATCTGTCTCCATTCATCCAACTCAAGTTTGTTTTGGCCAGCTGTCTTTCATTATTTGTTCACCATCTGCCATCACTAATCTCTTCCTTAGACACAGCATCTAAGGAAGAGATTAGTGCTATTTTTCTGATGGTCCCTAGGTGTGAATATTGTCTGCACCACTTTCTGCTGTCTGTCATTCTTTGCCATGTTGTCCTTCAGATCGACTCTTCCTCCAGATCATTAAATAATTTTCAAACTATTGCTGGGTGATGTCAGAATCCCAAAGTAATTTTCCACAATAATTAGACATGATCATTTAGCAGGTTAGTTTGTGTGTGTGTGTGTAGACTTCACCACTTTGTACCTATGTATGTGCAGTACAATAGTATGATAATCCTTGCATGTAACTTGCTAAACTAAAATATAGAAATAATAGAAAATCTGCAAACTTCAAACCATCCAGAAATTGAATAACCCAAATTTGTTAAGATTAAGGTCAACCTATAGAGATTTTTCCACCGTTTGGTGCATTGACTTTTTAAATATTATTAGACTGGCATTACAATATATTGTTGATTTGCAAATAATGTTTAAAAATAAAAACTCTGCTATACTCTTGCTACCAGCTCGGGAGAGGTATTTTGAAAAATCTTCCTACAAGAAATTTTGAAATAAATATAATAAAATGCATAAACTGTATAAAATTTAATAAAATAAAATGAATGTCTGCTAAAGCACAACCACACTCCTTTTCCTTGTGCAACTTTGTCCACCTTATCATAACCCCTTTCCTCCCATCCAGTGTGGATGTCATTTATGGACAGCCCCCAAATGAATGAAAAGAATCTCCAGCACAATTTTACATGAAAGCAAAGGTTTTTGACCATGTTAAACAAGCATCATATTGTCAGGCTAACTGACCTTCACAATTCATATGTAGGGGAGAGTCTTGTACCTATGGACACGAAAATTTTAACGACTATAAAATATGGAAATATTTCTTTAATCTCGATTGTTCAAAGGTATTTCATAACCACTTTATATGTTTTTCATATAGTAAAATGATTTATGCAATACCTTTTGCCATTTAATAAAATAATAGATAAAATAAAAAAATTGTCAGTTGTCTGTAGGTACAAAAGTTGCCTATACCTAGGACCCTAAGGACATAGAGAACAGACACACATAGAAATGAAACAAAGCAAATATTAATAAAAATGTTTATTAATAACTTTTGGTCACATTTTGAGTAACAGTCTTCATATGCAGTGCAATTTTCATGAAACCATAACTTACAAACTTTACATTGTATCCAGTCTTCCAATAGTTTAGTCTGAAAGTAATTTTCGTTACAACCAACACAGTTATCTCCTTCACATTTATCATCATTGCCGGAGTCACTCTCTAGAATCATCTGAAAACAATATTTATACATGATGACCGAAGTAAATATGAAAGATGTGTACCTAAGGACAGTCCATAGGTACAAATTCTGACATAATGTTGAAAAGGTTATGAGTCATTAAAAAAACGTATCTTTCTATAAAAATCTTTCAAATATCGTAAGTATAAAGGAATATTTCATTAAAACATCAAATATTGATTACTCACCTTGCAAAAAATCAAATGAAACAGATGATTAAATCAGATTTAAAAAAATACTTTTGGAGAAAAAAATATAACGAGTGTTGCACTCTCGACAAACAAATTAAAATGGATGACTTTTTTTAAGTTCATGTTAGTTATCAAATTCATCAAATGATGTCACTACAGTAACTGTTTTACTACAACATATTAAAATAATATTGAGGTGTCCATAGGTATGTGATGTCCGTAGGTACAAGACTCTCCCCTAGCTATTAAAACAAGAGAATTGTCATTCCTGTTTAAAGAAGGGTGACATAAGAGAGAGAGAGAAGGCAGGGAGAGGATTGTAAAATTAAAGTTTGTAGATTGACTTCCATGCCAAGAGAAGGAATCTATGTCACAAAAGTTTACAGTGGTATTTGTAAACTTCTAGATATCTAAGTCATTCTTTGTGGAAGGTGCAATGTAGGTATGCCCAGTCACTTTGTTTATTAAGTGTACCTAGTTTGAGTAGTTGATGTTTAAAAAGCTTTTTGTGATATTCTAATTTTAAAATACTGTAAAGGACAAAGAAATCTATACATTGTAAGATTGTTTTATAATTTACTATTAAAATAAAACAGTGTACATTTTTTCAGAACAATATTAACTTTTCAGGAATTCAGATTTAAAATATTTGTATGATTACAAGGAAGAATTGTAATCATATATTTTAGAAAAATTTAGTAGACATAATTTGAATGAAATTATTTGTAGAGATATTTAATAATTGTTTCATTATAAAAAAATATTCATTTTGTAATCTAAACTTTATTTCAGAACTATAGCAAGAGCTGCAACAGTGTTTGGATTAATATGCTCAGATTGTCCAGAGAATTGTTACAGTGTTCTTTTTTCTAATAAAATTGGAATTTTACTTGATTATCTTATTCATTGCTTAAATGTAAGGAAATTTTTATTTAATTATAGTTAAGACAATATTTATTTCTGTATGATTGGATGATGATTTAAAATCTTCAATTTTATTTTTTCAGTTATTAATTCCAGATAATTACACTCAGCTATTAAATAGCAATCCAAATTCCATAAACAGAGCTTTGCCAACAGATATCCTTTCCAGTAATCTCATGCAGTTGTTAGCTGTAATTATCATCACTTGGTTTTCGTGTAAACAGATGAGTTTTGCGGGAATACAGAACTTGTTCATAGATCAAAATAAAATAGTAAGCCAAAATGAAGAATTTCAGCAAAGAGTGCATGATGTGATTAGGTAAATTTTTTAAAATATCTATTGTTGTTGTAATGGTATTGATGAATTGTTCTTGTTCCAGTTCCTAATTATATGTCAGATCAAATTAAGTCATAGCTACAGAAAAAGCTATTGGTACTTTTTGTGTTGTTCATGTGTGTATCTGTGTTTAAGAATTTCCTGGCTTTTGTGCATGTGTTTAGTATGCAGTATTCTATATTGTGATATATGTTTGTGAACCCCTAATGTTTCTAGATTTTTCTGTAGTGTATGTGGTGTGACATCTGTGCAAGAAAGAACTACAGGTACAGTAAGAACTTTATCCATTCTCCTCAGATGCTTTATTTTGGGGACAATATTTGAGTATTTACTAATTTTTTCAGTGTATGTATTTTGTATGTAAGTCTACAAATATTTAGCATTCCAACAGGCAAAACACATAGAACATGCATAAATAAAACAAAGACTAACAACAGAATACAACAGCAGATTAAAAACTCAATACAAACAACACAGCTGAATGTAAAATGTGTTTAAAGCTATCAATATCTATGTTGTCCCAGTACAGACATATTCATTTGGAATTACACATTGGACATGCAGAACTAGAATAGTTCCAAAGGAAAACTTGAACAATAGCAACAAAGCAGAAGAAACATCACCCAAAATCATTCATAGAAAAGCTGACTCTTTCTCATAAAGAGAATGGATGAGTCATCATAGATATAATAAACCTTCAGTACAAAACAAATACAGATGCTGAAAGTTTTTCTACAGAAAACAAGAAACATGACAATTACACAAACATTAACTTTTGCAGACAAAAACAGTACACTTTTAAACTTGCGTGACACTGACTCAGATTTGACTGAATACACAAAAGACACAGTCTTAGGTTCAGAGGGCACCCTAATAATCTCAGTCTGGATCATGTTGACAGAACTGCATCAAAGTGATGGCTGATTTAAGGATGTCTCTTTAGAGAGACAAAAGAGTTTATGATTGCCATATAAAACCAGGTCATATATACAAGAAACAATAGGAAGCACAACTTTGCTATAAAGAAATTTTCATGCAAGAACATCCAGGCAATTGATTAAATTTGACTTTATAACCCAAAAGAGCTGATAAGCATTTCCAATAATATCTGAAATGCATATCCTCTTCTTAGCTAATAAAGTTTATTTTAGTCAATTGCCTATATGTGTAAAGTACTATATTATTTTTCCGACTTTCCAACGATTATCGACACTACTGTGTGCCGGAAATAGCCGTTCCCTAACGGGTACTTTACGCGGATTCGCGTTAGTGTGCCAGGCCTGGACTTTAAGCGTGCACCGAATTAAATAATGACAAAGTTTGTCAATAACAAAATCAAATATTTAATTAAACTTCTAGTAATAAACTATATACAGTATTTAGTAAAAATCAAACAATAATTTATTCAATGAAATTCAACAAGAATCAATCCGACAAACTCAAATCAATCTATTTCTAACTTAATTCTATTCCCCTTTGGAATTCGACAAAATCAAAGAATTAACTTATAAACAATAATTCTTATAAATTAAAGATCCTAATCGTCACCTCAATATACTAGGAACCTATTTCCTCAAACTCTCAAGACTTTCTATAATCGTCGATCCACAAATCGAATAACTTCAAAATCCTATCGGACACCTCTCTCGTTCACTGCTACGAAGCTCACCAAAGCTCGTTGCTATCAGGAATTCACCTCGTTCGTTTTCACTTGAGTTAGAGGCTTTATAGTGTGAGGTGACGTCACAATTCTGAATGAGCTCACTCTCCTCATTTACATACTTATCTGTAACATTAAATTTTTCTTGTTTATCTGGCAGATTATTTTCCGACAATACTTCGCTAACCTTTTACATTATTCTTTTTAACAATTATCGGGATGCTTTATTCTTTTAAGGTTTAGCGATTCCTAACTGGGTTGTGGGGTCTTCCCCCCCCTTTTTCTCGGTGCGGACTTACTTTTTTCCGCTTGGGAAGCGCAAGTGTGCGCGAGTTTTTCTACGGCGCTTTTCTTTCGTCGGTGAGTTGGTTTTTCTTCTATTTTTAAGTTACTAAGGTGAATGGTGAGGAAACCTTCGTCTTAAATAAACATAAGCCCCAAACAAAATATAATGAAAGCAAAATAAAAGTAAAATAAAAATAAAGCTCAGACTTGGTTCCTTACATATGTTCCTGTATGAAAAGTTCAAATTTGTGCTTGATTTAAAGAGCTTTAAACAGAACAGTATTAAAGTACAAGAAGCATATTTTGAAAGACACACCACTTATATATGGCACAGGAAGTGTTACGTAATACATGAAACCATACAACACATCACAAAGAGTTACCAGCTTTTAACACAAACTGCAATTCACCTGTTTTATCAGTGTTTGTACTTTTTTTATACTATATTTCATATTCTTTTTCTGTTCTTTCTTGATATTCAATATATCATTTTATCAATTTCTGACACTACTTCTGTTGCTTGTTAATAAAACATTACTTAAAATCCATAATAAATAAATTAATTGCTTTTGCCCTTTAATTACAATTTGTAAATTTCTAAATGTTCCATGTTTATACAGTTTTTCATTCTCAAGAATGAAAAACTGTAACCTTAAAAATGTTTTTCTGTGTTAGAATATTTTGATTTTTATTTCCTGTAAATCATTTTTATGTTTGATTTACAATTTTCATAGACATAGCCTATTTAAAATTAAGATTAAATGTAACAATTATAACAGCAAAATAACTGTGTATAACAGACTAAAAATCTGTATATCCAGCACTTTATTTAAGAAAGAAATGTTTTAGCCATAACAGTAGATGTATTCAGATTATAAACATATAAGTTTAGAAGAATAATGTTGTTCTTGAAATGTTGTGATGGAAATAAAAATAAAAATTTTAATTTTGTCTGGCATGTTTCCATTTCCAGACCTTTCATATTAATTTCACTAAGTAAATACATGCACTATCTTATTTGGTATACAAAATTTGAGCGATACCAACTTGACAGCAAAAATTATTTCAAAACTACCAGGACTATTTTTTAAATAAGGTCCGTTTTTTAATAAGAAGAAAAATACTGTAAATATCATTAAAATATATTTTTCCCCATATTCTACATACTTTTATCTACTTTTCTACATAATTTCCATTTTTGTTCATACCGCTCAAAAATATTTTTAATTCTGACTTCAAAGAAATCTGCCGCCTGCTGCTGGAAGACATTAGGCCACACCACTCGTCTCGTATGGCATGGCAGAGTTTTCTCAAGGTTACAATAAGCATCAGAATTGATTGTTGTGCCTCTTGGCATAAAATCCACTAACAAAGACCCTTTGCTGTCCCAAAAGACAGTTACCACTATCTTTCGTGCTGAAATCGAATAACAGATTGTATCTTACAGTCGGCGGGCGACTCAGTTTTCTTAAACATTATAAACTTCTACAGTTCAGCACACAGACAGACAATACGGCTGCAAATGGCATCAAAACACGCACAAAGCATGCTAAAAGCAGATGCTCGTGCACACTGCCGCAATCACGTGCCATTCTCACTCTCATTCACAAACGGACCTTATTTAAAAAATAGCCCTTGTAATATACAGAATATCTTTAATTTGACATTGTTAATAGAGATATTCTGGATTAAAGAATTTTTTGAACTTATCCATTCAGACAGTATTATGTTTGTATCTTTTTATTCAATCACATTTATAAAACAAAGTTTATTAATTTATCAAATTATTTTGCCCAATTATAATAATTAATACAAAATACAATATTGTGTTAAAAATTTATAAACCAATATTTTATATTATCATCACAAATTCTGCACTCTAAGTGGACCAGATATAAAATGGAAAAAGTAATGAACATTTATGTTTTTTGATGCAAATTTTCTACCTTTATTAAACATAAATATCTGTTTTGGAATATTTAAAAATCACTGGTATGTACAAATTTTTAGATTTTTTGAAATTTAAGTTTCATATATTCAAACAAAAAAGGTACAATTAACAAACTTTTTGTTTTTTATACAGGACTAGCAGACTCCGCTACGCGTTGTTGTGGCTCAAAATGTATCTATTATAAATTTATAACACTTCCCCCGTGGGGTGGGGGAAATTTTTCGAAAAATTTCTTCTTAGCGTACATTCTCTCGACGTACCCTATTAAAACGCCATCAAAAACGCAAAAAACCGCATCTAAAATAGTATAAATAGAAGCGGAGTTCTTTACCATAAGCCTTAATCCTAACCATCTCCCTTCAGTGGGGGGAATTTCGACACGTATATTATATAAAAACAGCGCATATTCGAATGCGGCGTTGTGTGAACATTTCAAAGGAATCAGTAGGAACGAACAAACATTACATTTTTATTTATATAGATAGATAGAAGATGATGTGCTTTAGTTCATTTTCACAGAAAAGCGTAATGTCTCGCAGAAAAGCAAACTTAGGGCGTCGTACTCGTAGCGCCATCCGTTGGACATAAAAGCCTTAACCTAGATTATATGTTTTAATTTATACGAATGTTTAACGGAATAATATACAGCCTACGTCCACCCGAAAGTTCCATTCTAAGTATTGGTGTAAGAATTTTTGAAATCGGGTGAGTAGTTTCGGAGATTACCCGCTACATCCAAACTTACTTACAAACATTACCTCTTTATAATATTAGTATAGATTTCTTCCAATATAATTAAATTTAATAAGAGATAGTGCCTAATGCCTACCCATATACCAAATTAAGTAGTATTTAATAGTAATAATATAGCTTGATTTAATCTGGCAATTATTTGGTTTTAGTGTAACTATCAGGCTTTGAGATGTTTATATGTATTAGTTACTATTTTGATTATTAATGAAACATTAATTTCACACACATCTTACATAAAATATTTTGTGTGTAATTTTTGTTACCGAATTTGACTGTTGATGAGTTGATCATATCCATCTTATTGATATAAAGTCAAAGTTTGATACAGTGATCATGGATATAACTTGAAAGTGGTTCTAGGAAAATGGAGTTTGTTATGGAATGGCCAACTAATTCACCAGACTTAAATCCTGGAGAACTTCTGGGCTCCTTTGTTCAGGACTGTATATACCAGTGGTAAACAGTATGGTAATGCTGAAGAACTGAAGAGGGCAATTACTTCTTTGTGGGAGGGAATTGACATCTTATTATTACAGAAACTCTTGGAAAGGATGTGTGAGCCCGAAGGTTTTGAGGGCATAAATTTTTGTTTAAGGGGTTAATCGTTATTCTAGTGTGTACGTTGGTGTGTTACATTTCTCTACCACAGGCCTGACTTTGTTTTCTTTGTGTGTTTTCGCAAATACGAATATTCTCAGCATCTCTAAAACATCATTATCTCTCACTACACATATTTGGGGATATTACATCACTTGTATTGCTGTTCAAAAAATTTTTAAAAATTTTTGAATTCTTATTCTATTTCAAATTCATATTGGTATTCCATCTACAGGCTTCGTATATTTTCATAAGTTGTTTGAAAGCTCAGAATTTGAAAACCACTGTATTCAATATTTACCTGACGATGCTAGCTTTATGCTGTCGAAAGTGCTTGTGAACTCATTTATACTTCAAATTCACCATTGGTAACGCCACAACATGTAAGTGCAATTACGTTATACAGTAAAGCGTAGGCGTGAAGTGTACATTACTTTTATTAAGAAAATATATTACAATCACAAAATGCCAGCTAGCACTCATCAACTTTTTAGAATCATTACAGCAAAGGGTTAAAAGATTCACCTCCTCTCCCTTGGCACGACTTTTACGTATGCATGGCTCTTAAGGAAAATACACTTATTAAAATAACTACAAAAGCAATTTGCAACAGTAAGGCATCCCTGTAAACTTTGTAAAAGATCTTTATCATTTTAAATGAATTTAATATAAAGTTCCCAATAAATTATATACTGTAGGGATGTCTTGGTGTTGCAAATTACACTAATTTTGAAAGTAAAAGAGGCTCTGTTACAATTACTTTTACCTAAGGTCATTTCCAAAATGATATGACCACTATGTTTTTTTGAACATAGTTTTCTAAAAACAACACAAGTAACTGTAAATGTAATTTTCAAAGAAACATTACAAATTGTTTATATTCTGCGTGTAATAATTTTTTCTGTAAGGAGTAAAAGAAAAACAATAACTATTTCATTGCAAAATGATATGGCCATCCCTATTTTAATATCCAACAAATAAACCATTTTTCAAAACAACCTTAAATACACAACAATGCATATGTGAGAATATGGGCAAGAGGATAGAGCCCTCTAATCGTTGAGTTGGTAAAATTCGCCCACTTTGTCTTTGGGATGGCTTTTTTCAAGTGGCGAGGGGGTTGAGAAAGTCGACGGGTGTCCGTGCGAGCAAACAGGTTCACAGGTTAAACAAACAAAGAAGGAGTTTATTATATAACTAAAGCTAATTTACAGGAGCATACATAAATAATTAAATGCGGATAACATATAAATCTATCGGTAACGGCGATCTAACTAGTAACCTTGTTGCGTGTCTAACCTCTAGGGTGAGAGAGAGAGTTTACAAAGGTTTCTGCCCTGAAATATACCTCAACATGCTGTCAGATGACTGTATGTGACGATCATTCTGGACTATGGAAGTTGGAACAGTCTTATGTCTTCTACCTGCTTCTCCTCGGACAGGACCAGGATGGGAGACAATTGTACTCAGACCTTCCTGGGACGACCGCCCTGAACTTTTCATGACGATCGTCACTGGCACTGAGCCAACTGGTCGTTCAACGTTACAATGACTAATTAGCAGACACGCGATGACTTGCCTTTCTTCCTTCCTATCTTGTCGATGTGTAAGAGTCGACATCCGATCTATTTCCATGGGAACTTGCGATAATTTTTTCTTCTCATCCTCCAATGTCTACACTTCCTTCGAAAAAAGTCATTGAAGGAGTACATAAATGAAAAAATGGAAGATAATGGTTATGTAACCCATGATCCAACTAAAGTAATTAAAGAAATACAAAACTTAAATTTAATGAACGATGAAATAGGAACTGTGTTGGATTTTGTAAATCTGTACCCCTCTATAAATCTAACCTCGTGCTTCAATGAATTAATTGAATTCATGGTACAACAAAATCCAGAAGTGGAGAAATTCATGGAAAACCTACAAGATTTGGCAAAACTAATTTGTTTTCATTCCTTTTTTAAATTCAGTGGAATAATATACAAGCAAAAGAAAAGAGTCCCCATGGGAAGTCCTATGTCAGGACTCCTATGTGAACTAGTAATAAGGAAATTGGAAAAGAACATCCTCAAAGATTTCTCTGATAGCATTGTAATAATATACAAATGCTATGTTGATGATGCATTAATAATTTGGAAAGACCACCAACGCATTAATGATTTTTTAACTGCAATCAATTGCAATGAACATGGTTTGAAACTAAAGTTGGAACAAAAAAGCCGAAAAAAACTCCATTTTTTGGATATTAACATGGAATTTAAACTAGGGAATATACAAACAGCCGTATATTTGAAACCCACACACGCTCCTTTATACATACCTGCATGGTCGAAAGACCCGTATAAATATAAATTATCTGCGTTTAAGGCACTGATCAAAAGGGCCTTCTTGTACTGCACCAATGTGCAAGACAGGAACAAAGATATTGATTGAATTCAAAAGGTAGCAAGGAGTTTAGGATACAAAACGTCCACAATCAGAGGCCTTATACAGCTGCAGTGCATAACAGCAATACTGCATTTAACAAGTTCACATACAATGAACAAACAAGGAAAGTAGTGAATGAGTTGGGAAACACAAAAATGTAAAGATAATTTACAAACGAGCACCCAATATATATAGATTATTAAGGAACGATAAGGACAAAATTAGAATGGAAGAGCAAGCGAGGATGTACAGCATACCTTATGAGAACCAACAATTTGGAATTGATAAAAAGTATATAGGGGTGACCAGAAGAAACCTTACGGTACGTGTAAAGGAGCACAAATATAGTGTTAATAAAGGACTTAATAGCACGATATTGGCAAGTATGGCACAGTCAGACGGAGCAGTAGTCAAATGGGATGAAGCGAAGATCGTTAAAACGGGGCATTCACCGCCCATCGCGATGGAAATGGAAAAAATGAGATTTACAAAAGTAAAATGAGGGACCGATGCCTAAATGCAAAAGATGCAAATGCATTACCAACGGCTTGGAAATACAAAATCGAAAAAGTATGGGTTTTAATAATCCATAAAAATATGATCTGTGGATTATACATAGAAATTAGTTTTTTAGATGCATTTAAATTTGGTATAATTTTTGTTTTTGTTAAGTTGCAACGCATTTTGATGTTATTTAGTTAGCTATTTATTTACTCATGTATATACGAAAGTTGTTAAAACATTCAAATTCAAAATGAAATAAATTCGAACGATGATTGTAAAGCCTGAAGATGGCCTATCCAAATAGGCTGAAAACGTTCGGAATAAAGAAAAAACTCGGCAAATAGAAATCAGATGTGTGTCTTAGTATAGAATTGTATTTTATTGATATTGCTAGTATTTTTATATGGATGATGATGATTATTATTATATCGATTTGAAGAATTGTTTTTACTTTTGTTTCATCAGTTATGCGGTTAGCATCGGAATCGTCGACAAATTATCACAGTACTTCAACAACGTTCACGGACCCATTGATTCCGAACCTCTGGTAGCAGACTTTTTACTACAATGTATGACGTTTCTTTCTGCCTTGGCTAAGATATACACTAACAGGTTAGTAGATTAGAAAATAAGTTAAATTTGATTTTGTGCAAATACAATTATTATTATTGTTATATAATATTACAGAATAAAAACTAAGATTAACATTTTATTCAAATTCAAATTTGTTATTGCTCACCAGAGTTCAATTTTTCTTTATAAAAATTTTTTTCAACTCAGCTTGGTTTTGGTTTAAACCGTTGTAATTTATTCTAACTTTTTTTTATATTGTTAGAAAAAAATGGAAGAATGTAGAACTGTTTAAACTAATACTAACTCTGATGATGGATAAAAAGTCTGAAAGTGCTTAGCTGAAAAAAGGTTTTATAAATAAAAATTGAACTCTGATAAGCGGTAATGAATTTGAATTTAATATTTTACATTTTCTTATATAATTTGTTTTAATCTGCAGATAAAAACCTTTTATTTCCTCTTGTATTTACAATGCCTTTTTTTTTCTTGAAAAAGGACTATGGTTAATGCCTTAACATTAGCGTGTGATACAGCCACATTAAGATATTCTAACATCTTGATAATAGATCAAAATAGTTAATCCTGAAAAACATGTTCAAATGACAAATTCAAAGAATATTCTGACTTATCTTAATTATAAATTTCGCCCTTTCTCGAACTTTTTACGAATAATATCTGTAACAAAGTATAAATTTTATGTTATTTACTATATATGCACGTAAATTTAAAACACTAATCGCGCTATTAAAATGATCTGTCGTGTACGATTTGGTTCGGAGGTGCGTAAACATCAAGTATGAAGTTAAATGTTCAAAAAACATAATCGGCTGTATTTTCACTTTATACTCGTCACTCCATATTACGACAACTAAAAAAAAATAATCTACTTCGTCACGATTCGTTCTGACCACCACAAAATATAATCTATACTTCGGTGGGTCGACGTCATTCGGCTGACCAATCGGCGCTTTGTGCCATCTGGATATTTAGCCGCACGTGTTTGAACGTATAACTGACACGAGGGCAGCGCTGTCTCGGTGAAAAACAATTCTCTTCTGGTTGATGACATTCTGTCATTTATTTACTTGATCTGATCGATGACAGTGGACATGTTTTAAAAGTTTATGATAAATTATTCCATTTTTCTCACCAGACACAAATCAATATGTTTTTGGAAAGCAAAATTATTTTTTAAGTTGGGACTATGTGTACAAAATTGGAACAATGAAGTTTGGAGTACAACCATGTCTTTTTTTTATAGTTTCGACTTAGAAATTAGTTTTAATAGTATATGTTCCAGTAAATATTAAAAAATAATATCGTTAATTTTAAATATTTACTGGATTTAAGTTGTATTCTATTTAAATTAAATAGTTCTAGACGGGCGAATCCTAATTAAAATATTTTGTCACGCTGAAAGTTATAATAAGAATAATAGGCCTATCTCTAGTACTAAACGATGGACAGAAATGTTATTTGGTGTAAATAAAAAAGTATGGATTGTTATAAAGCCCATTATATCTACGTATGACATATATTATAATAAAAAAGTATTAAAAATTTATGATGGTAATTCAATTTTTGTTGGCCCTCGACACTTAAGCTCTATTAGTCCCTACGTAGATCCACCCTGTACACGATACGCGTACACTGACTGGGTACCGCGAGGTTTTGATACAATCTGGCCTGGTTAAATGCATCGAATGACGTCGTGCGCGCGCACTCGTTTGCCTCGACAAACCTCCACATGATGGAGTGATCGAGTTCTCGCAAGCAGCGCACTGACTTAAAACGGATAGCGCAAGCTGCCAACGTAAAACCTAACACAAATGATAAAAAGAGTTTACATATTAGAATAAATTATTATTGGCATATTTGTTCTCATATAAAAAGTACATTGACAGTCAAAACTTCTATTAAGCGTGAGGCACGTGCTAAGCAAGCCCAGAGAATTTTCCACCCTGGTTCTAGAACACATTTCAAATACTGGAATTTTGTATTTGCTCTGAAGTTTGTATCCATTCTAATTTTTGTTTTTTTTTTTTCTGCTGATGCCCAAAGAAGGCTGAATATATAATGTCCGAAAATGTTTGTAATATTTGCTGCTAAAATGTAATTTCTCTGTTTGAACTGTAAGAACAGCGCTATTGTCCTCATTTGTACCTTTTTTTAACAACAGTTTTAAAATACTTGTTGTATAATTACAAATAACAACTCAATGCTTTAAAAATGAATTCTTGTTTTTGATAATTTCATAGTGTGATGCATTTTATTACTTGTTGCAGGTTTTTTTTTCATTTTAATGTGTGTGGAATTTAAATATGTTTTGTGACCATTGTGAGTCAATGAAGCATTTCAAAAATGCATATTTGTGATATATTTAATTTACAGTGAGCTTGTTTTTGCAATTTCTGCGTGCAGTTTCCTTCGTTGATACTTTTTGGACACATTGTATTGGGAATTCTTTCATTCAAATTTTCCTTTTAAACTTCTTAAAGCACATTTGACACGCTCGAGGTTTAATAGTACCTCCCCTTATAATTCTCAAATGCTTTTTGCTGTTTGTATGGCAGTAGTACCTTTCCAAAGTTTATATGTGGCATATTCTCTCTCTTTCTCTCTCTCTCTCTCCAACCAATGGTTGGTGGACAAACATGCGTGTGTGCAGTCTTATAGCTTCCCTCTTTGCTTAGCTAGCTGTTTTATCTGTTGGTAAGGTCTTTTCCGTAAAAACTCACCCCTTTTGCCCTCAGTCTTTCCTTCCAATAAAACATTCATCCATTCCGAGTGTCAAATTAGGTAGCCAATCATGTAATTTCTCCTTTTCTCTATCGTTTTCAAAATCTGCCTCTTCCAAAACATCCTTGTTCCTCTTTCTCTCCGTCCACGCACTCGCATCATTCTTCAAACTCCTCCAGTTTTCTTTTCTCCGCTGTCTGGAGTGTTCGTGTACTCCATCATTAAGAGTTTCAACTGGAGTGTACTCCAGATGAAACTCTTAATGAATCGCTTCCTGACATCTGTCGTTTTCTATAGAATGCCTGTTTTACTTGGGCTATTCTCGCTGTAACATCTCTTTTACTCCTTCCGTCTGAGGTAATTATGCTTCCTGGGTACACGAGCTCATTGACTTCTATTTTTTCACCGTCCAAATAGACGTTCATTCCTTCTTGTTCCTTTTTTTAGCATCTCGTTATCTTCGTTTATTTCCTATTTATTCTCATCCCACATCATTGTTCGTTTAATTTTCAAGAGCAATTTGTTGATCCCGCTATCATTGCGATGTTGTCGGCAAATCTTTTTGTGCCGTACAACTTACCGTTCACTTTTATACCTTTTGTATCAGTAGCGTAGAATTCTTTCGTTGCCTCTTCTACGTAGACATTGAACAATAGTGGTGATAGTCCACAACCTTGTCTTACTCCTTTCATTATATTGGTTTCTTCTTCTTCTCTTTCTATAACCACAGTTTGATTCTCGTATAGCTGGTATAGTATTCGCATATCCCCGTAGTCTACATTCGGGTTCTTCGGTGATCCGAACATTATCTTCCAGTCCACGTTGTCAAAGTTCTTCTCTACGTCTATAAACGCTACGAGTGCCTGCCTTTTTACCTGAATAAGCTGCTCGATGAGCATCCTTAGGCTTAGTGTAGCTTCTCGTGTACCTTTGTTTCGTCCGAAACCAAATTGGTTTTCTTCTACTTTTCTTTCTATCCTTCGATAGATTATTCCGCACAGAATTTTCTGTGCGCGCGAGACTAAACTTAATGTCCTCACATTTCTGTGGCATATTATCTATCAATATTTATTTTATTTTTGATTTTATCCAAATGAAATGTATAAAGGGAAACTCAAAATAAACATTTGATGACATAACTTTAATCGAATATCACTTCAAATTTCTGTAGCGACATCCTCATCTAGAAAAATGCAAAAATTTTTGGGTCAACACAATATTCGGACAGTTGTTATCTCGTATCTTGACGTAATTTATTATTTCTTTATGACTATTTGCAGATACGATAACATATTCGAGATTAAAAAGACCGAAGACACGACTCAATTAGTGGCGACGTTCAGAGTGACGGAACTGGTCGGAACGGTGTCGTTACTCTACGGTATGCTCTTGCACAGCGAAGCTCCTTCCAGAGGCAGCGCTCCTCCTCCCGAACTTCCTCAACATACTGTAAAAATCACCATAGCTTCGTTATGCATGCTGAACCACTTAGCTCTTATGGATTTGCAAATGGTTCAGGTAAATTTATTTCAAATTTTTATATTGTATATTATTATTCAGAAACTTATTAAAAACATTTTCAGTGTGTTCTGGGAAATGAAGGATTATCTCTTCAACTTCGTCACATTGCTAGTTATCTGTTATGGTATTGTTCTCATTGGACAATTCAGGAATTACTACACGAAGTAATATTACTTGTTGGTTATTTCACCGTTCTTAATTTTGATAATCAGGTAATCGAAACACCTTTTGATACTTAATTTATTTGTGTTTGATGCAGTGATGAAAATAAATATTTAACTGGGTTGTATTTGGGCGTAATCGGGTCAAATTACATTATTTACATAATTAGCTTAATTATAGCCAAAATATCATTCGGCTTATAAATGTTTGATTAATAGATCCAGCCGGTTACTTTAATACAGTGTTTCTCAATCTTTTTATTCTGGTGGCACATTTTCCAAAGAAGGAAAAACAATAACAATTTCAGCTAGCTTTGTCCTTTGTCTAATAGTAGCCAGAGGTTATCGGTGCAGAGAAAGTTATTATACGACGAATAAAATGCATTTTCTGTAATTTTGAGATGCAAACAAAAGCATGGGAAATGTAAAACGTTTGACAATTTACACGACGACGAAGCGGTGTCGTCTGGTTAACGCGGGCTTTCGATACGCCATTAATAAAACGGTCGTAAAAAGTTCTAATTGGTATAAATTCGAGCTTTTTGTTATTCCGAGGGGAAATGCCGTCGTGTAAATAAGCACTGCGTACGCAATCGGTATTTTTATATTCGGCATTCCCGATAATTTGTACCGAAACGAAGGACCGAGTTTGTCTTTCTAATTTTTTTCAAAAATTAAACAAAAACCGTAGGCGATATACGGATCGCTCCGTGTAATTTATAGGGAAAAAATACATTTTTTCCCTATTATTTCCCTAAAATACATTTTTTCCCTACATAATTTAGCGAGTAAATCGTCCGTTTTGTTATTTACGGTAAATGCCAAAGCTATTTGTTAGGCGCCGGGAGAGGCAACTAAAGTGTAATTTATTTCAGACGAGGGCCGTTCCCCCGAACACTGGGAATTGGCACCTAGCCAGGACGTGGAGTTTTCCGGGTTTTCTCCACGTCTGTAACGGCAGGCATTCCCCCTAGGCAGATGGCCCAACGTTTGCGTTGCCATAATTTAACAAAGGAACAAACATTTCAGATGGTGATTCAATCGGGACAGCGACCCACCGTCTTGCAGCAGCTGTGCTCTCTGCCCTTCCAGTACTTCAGCGATCCCGAACTGACCGACGTTCTCTTCCCTTCGCTGATAGCCTGCTGCCACAACAACCCCCACAACAAGGCCATTCTCGAGCAGGAAATGAGTCCGGAGTTGCTGTCCGATTACGTAGAGGTGGGTCTTTAAATGTAAAACTAATTTAGACCAACGTCCGTAGGATTTCGGCCAAGCCGGGCAATTTCCTATCTCGAGTGGATCCGGATTTTTATAAGGACGGGAGGAAAAACCTTAACCGCGCTTATCGAATTTAAACGTTTTTTCTTATGGGAAATAATCAAAGACGACAAAAGGCCGAAAGTAAACGGAAGCTGGGAAAGATTTAATATAACGGGCAAAGTGTCTACCGCAAATGGAGCCTGGATATTCCACTTTTAAATTGGGTACTTTCGGAAATAATCGGCCGCGGAAGAGATTTCGTTATTTACTTTGCGCCGTCGTCGATAAATTTATAATTTTTCGTAGCCCTACCGTTTTCGTACGGGCCGCAATTTTTAATTTATTTAATTTAAAACGTACGCTCTCTGCCTCAAATTAGTAGTGGCTCGACCCCTACGTCGTACTTTTCCCGTTAGATAGGCAACTGGCACGACGCGGTGGCTAATTTCGGGGAAACAACGCCACTTCCGCAAGTTCGTATATCCGGTTTCGGCTTCGGTCTACCAAACTCCGCGGGCCCTTAGTCTCGCCAACTCCCAACGTGTCGAAGGGGTCGTGCGGCCCGACGTCAAATCGGTAGTCTCGAGTTATAACTCAGGCGAGTTGCTACTCACTTTTAGAACGTGAGAGATGTTTACACCAAAGTTAAAATGGCCGATGGCAATCGAAGCGGTAGAAAGAGCCGAAAGACGTTGTTTAAGAAGACCACGAGTAGATGCCAGTTCTTTTCGTGTCGAGTCGACACCGATTCATAATTGGTAAAATTATACAGCAAAAATAAGAATTATCTAATTCGTCGAAAAAGAGAATTAAAATGATGGTAAATTATACGTATAAATTATTAAGAGCATAGACACTATATTGAAATTATTTATTAATCACAAGTGTTAAGTTTTGTCTATTGAGATTATATATTAACAGAACGATTTGAGAAATAAAACTGTACGAAGAAAGGATTAAATTAAAACGCTTTTTCTATTACACGACGGATTTTTTAGTTCCAACACACGCAATCGAAAAATCCAATTGTCGCTGTCTTATTATTTTGTATGCTAGCTGTTACCCGCGAGGATTTTGCGAGCAAACCCCATTTATATTCGGTATTTCAACAACCGTAGTAATTGTTAAGTAACACCTACCGCCCACAATCAAACCAACTATTTTCTGCAACGTTTACAATCGAGCCAATACGCGATAACAAATTCGAATTTAAAACGGTTCGAACATTTTTAAAATCAAAATAGATAAAAATATTTATCAATTTAATACCCCTAAGTACTCGATGAAAATTAAACGTAGTTGAAAACGAAATAGTACGGTAGAAGCCGTTCTTCCTCTCCCCCCGCGGGGGAATTTCCAAAAATCCCTTCTTAGTGCGCGTTTCCGCGACGGTTTGCTCTGGGCAATGATGAATCAGTCATTCAGTCAGTCGGGACAAGTAATTTTATATATTTACGTATGTTACTAATATTTCTTTTTGTTCTTTTCGCTTATTTTTAAAATAAAACATCGAGGGTTTCCATTTTGTTTCGGCGTAGTATATATATATATATAACCCATTCAACGGGTATCCGTCTGTTTGTCCCGTAACCGTTTGATAACGGACACTAGAGGCGCCCCTGTCGTGTGTCATATTTCAAACATTCAAATTAACAATTTTAATTCTTATTTAAATTAACAATATGAATTATTATTATTCACTTGGCCAATAAATTGTTATTTGGTCAATATAACAATATAAATAAATCAGTATATTTATAATAGGAATTTGTTATTTCAGGGGCTTATATCTCGCGAAGGGTCGCAAGTAGGGGTATGGCTCCTTTGCCTTTATTGTTCGCACAGGGGGCTACAGTTTGGGGAGGGTCGACACCTCTTCACCTAATCTAACCATTGGGACTTTAACAGAGCTGTACAGCATATTGATAGGAACAAAAAAGTGAAAGGAACCGTGGTTCATGGAAATTTGTAAACAACGCCCACTAGGGGGCGTCCCGGGCTAGTAGTATTGCTAAGACAAAACTTTTAACTGTAACGCGTGTAAACTAATTCGCGTTGATTCGTTTACGTCGTGTTACACCCGAGTCGATTGGTCGAATCGTTATAGTCGCAAACCCACACGCATCGCGCTTAGCGACGTAGGTAACCGAGTGAGTACGACGTATTTCGAATTCCCCCGACGGGTCTAACTCGAGACTACCGATTTTACGAGTCGTAGTAACGCTAGCGAGTTCCACGACGTCAGTTCGCGTCTAAGACGAAAAACTCGAGATCGAAGGGGGGACGGGTCTACGATTATTTTGAAATTGCAGCGCGATTACGACGGAACGAAATTTGCAAAATACCAAATAACGCAAAGCCGGAGACCGGGAGAAGGCAAATTATAATTTTTTCCGGTCTCGGAGGATAAACGAGAGTCGGTACGACTTTTTTATATTTGTATTTCTAGGCCCACCTGCTGGACTTGCACGGAGCCCGTCTGTCGTCGTCGGAGAAGAAAGGTGAGGACTCTTACTTTACCCTTTCCGTTTCCGTGGGAAGGGCCCGGACCCGCGTGGCACTAATGTATTTTCTTCGTTCCGGCAGAGGGCGGCCAGGCCGAAGAAATTCTCCGGTGGAAACTCTCGTCCCGATTTCCCAAGAGTCACTGGACCGCCGCCAAGCGCTTCTTCTCCGCCCGGTGAGCGGCGGCGCCCTCTCGCTTTTACACGTTTGTATTTTAATAGGCAGCGGCCGCCGAGAGGACGAGCTCTATTCCTACTTCGGCACGTTAACGCGCTATTACCGTCGAACGGGCGTATTTATTATTAATACGAACGGAATGGGTCAAACTAGCCAGTCCCAAAGCGGAAATAATTGTTGTAAAGCATCCATCGATATTTTATTTATAACTTTGGTAAAATAAAATAAAGTCGAATTTTGCCCCTAACGCTTCTAGCGCCCGCCGCCGGGGATAAACTTTCTTCGCGCGAAATTGGCCGCTTTATTCGTAACAAATTAGTCTTTTCCGCCCGGGACCACCGCCATTATTTATCGATTAATTACTTACGGACGGCTTCGGAAATGACATTTGTCCGTTTTTCCACACTCGGCGTCGCGTTTCTGCTGGAAAAATTCCTTTCGCACCTCCCAGCGTATCTTAGCGTTTTTCGAAGAAGGCTATGACTCCACTACCGTAAAAACCCTCACCGTAAAAGCTTTTAATCACGTGATCCCGATATTTTACCACTGAGCAGGTCGTAAATCCAGCGTAAAAGCGAGTTGAGCAGTGTTCAACTTTCGACGCGAATACGGCCGTAAAGAGGTACGTACCTTCCACCAATCAAGTCATCGCGACACGGAGCTAAAATGGCGGAAAACGAGCTTTTGTGTACGTTCCCTCGTGGCTACTCTAGAACAGATGTAGAAAGATTTATCGAAAACATCCGAAAGTATTCGTGTATCTACGACAAGAGGTAACCCGATTATAATAACGGATACCAAAGGAAATCCTTCAATTTGGAGGAGTATATAATAAAAGTGCTGTATATTATCTTAATAATACGATAATAAAAGTTAGTATATGAAAGTAAAGATATTATTTTTACTACATTTGTAATTATAGTACAGAAAAAAACTCGTAGAATATAATCATTATCTTTATATCGATATATCACGTATATCGTCTTCCGTTTCTACCAAATCACGTGCGAAGAAGTATTTACTTTCGACACTTGGAGCAGCACCGTCGCAGTAAAAACTTCGCGCTAACTGGAACTCCACCGCAATCCGAGCGCAAACGCAAATAGGTCACGTGATTAAAAGCTTTTAGCAGCGTTGCCAAATTGGGCTACTTATTTTTCAGTTTGGCGTTAAAAAAAGCATTTGGCGCACTGGCTACTTTTTGGGCTACAAAAATTTGACTTGGCTACATTTTGGGCTGGTTACACAAATTATTTCACGGTCCTTTCGGAAAGAATGCTTCAAGATAGAAATCTTAAAGATTTTTTTCTTGAAGCCATTCTTTCCGAAAGGACCGAGAATAATTTGGGGAAATTTTCCTCATTAAGTTGCATTTTTAAATATTTTGGCAAATGGCGTAATTTTAAATTTACTTAATTAAATGTAAACTTTTTAAAAAGATAGCTGCAGTAAGTATTTAGTCATGCTTGACAGAAGACTTTCTAGTTTATAATAGCTTATTTTTTAAAGAAAACTTAATATAAATTCCAGATAAATGATATCCTAGAAAGAAATAAGAAAAGAAAATGCATCTATGAGCAAAATGAACACGAAGTAGTAAAATTTGAAATTATCACGTTGAAAAATCACTGGTAAGATCATCATCATCAGAATCTTTTTCACTAGAATGTTTTTGTATGGTTGAAGCAGATGAGGATTTCCAAGTTTAACATTTATCGCTGTAAAAACTCGATTTTGTAGTTTAGTTTTCATTAAATTTAATTGCAAAAAAAAACGTTCAACTGCTGCATTTGAATGAGGAAGCAATAAAAACGAATGTTTTCAAAGGAAAGGTATTAGGATTTCACGAATGGTACTAGGAAAATGGTGTTGGGTATCTTGGTACTGGGACAAGTAAAAAGGTACTAGATTAGTAGAAAAGTACTAGGTAGAACAACACCTGGTACAAAAGTAGCCAACTGCTCGAGCAGTTGGCTACTTTTGGGCTACTTTTTAAAAATTATTTGGCTACAAGGGCAAAAAAACATCTGGCAACGCTGGCTTTTACGGCGAGGGGTTTTTACGTTAGTGGAGTCTTAGCCGAAGTCTGAAAAATACGCGGCCGGCCGACAATTTTAGCGCAGGAAAGAGGATATTTTATTCGACACTCGGCGGGGATAACGTAAAGCCCGGCACTGACGTGCGGCAACGGTTGACGTTCCGTCGTCTTTCCGCGTCACACGCGGAAATTACCCGACAATCTAAACGCGCCGTCTGCCAGCCGTAAATATAAGCCAGCTACTACGATAGGTAGGTCACGCGCCAGTAGTCGGAAATGGCGTCTACCGGAATTGTTTCGTTACATCGATTAAACTTTCTAAGTTTGCCTTCCATCTTAGGGCGAAAGTTAGGAATATCCAATACTTTGGTCGCCGAATTACGATTACGCCATTCCCAGTACGTCTATTCGACGTTAATATTAAAATGGAATAAAGCTTTTTAGCTCGCCCCCCGCCACAGTTCGAACACTTTACGACGACGTCGCTAAACGTCCTTCCTATCGGTCTGATTTTTGCCGATCCGCTTTCCGCCCAGGCAAAAGCGACTTGGTCCGTTGCCGCGCGCGAGTACCGGGCTTAAAAGCGCCCGGAGACGTTCTTCCGATCGACTTCCGGCCGCATTCTATTCTGCCGATGGACGTCCGACGACGGAAAGGAGAGGATTTAAACGTATTGTGGAGAAAAGATAGATCGTCCGTCGTTTCTATAAACCGACGTACCCCTTAAATACTCTGTACTTGGTTTCGGTATTCGGTAATATTTTCATCTATTACGTTTACTTTCTATTTGTAGGCCCCGGCCAAACGTGGCGATCGTGTGGGAAATGTTTGTCCGGGAAGTTAATTAACGACCGTGGTTTGTTTACGCCCGGGCATTTTCCACCGTCCAAAAATCCAGTCGTTTGGTGACGAAACAAAACGACACGCTATAATTGGACTTTCGCATTTGCGATCTCGAAAATTACGCCATAAGTATCCATCGGCCGAAGCCTGGTATTTTATAAAATAGGAAAGTAATCGCGCGATACGTATTTATATTTTAACCTACTCGGAATTAATTAAAATTCTTATTTTATTATAACCGCGTTACGCATCTTATCATTTTTCTTCACGCAGAAAAGCCAAAATATTTGAATGGCGTAACCCGGCGCGCTACCGTCAAACGTCTTGGCCGGGGTGGAAAAAACATTAAAAGCCAACTGGCGGTCGTGTTAAAAAGAGGTAATAAACGGTCGATGTAGTAGTCGATTCGTGACCGCCGGGGAATAAACTTTAGCGAGGAAACCTTTAAATAATTTAAACATTTTACGCAAAGCGATTCGTTCTAAATAGGAGAGGGAACAATTATGATACGTGGATTATCCGAATACCGATCGACCGTAGGCCTAGTTTAATGTATTTGTAAGACAAATTTGTACAGTTTTGTGTTTAACATATTTTTTGTAAATGATCAGTTATCCGAACCACGACGACGGATGGCGTCGGGAGTTGCTAGATTTTTCATCTTCAAAACTGTATTAAATGAATTTTAGGTTTACGTCTTTGGCGTAAACCAAGTAATAAAACTTGTTAATCCTAACACAGATTGTTACATATAATTTTTATAGTTTCACCGAGGCGTTCTGTGAAAAAATGATTAGATCGACACGCAAACGTACCATTAAAACAAGAAATTACTGCGCTATTGTCTGTGGGCGTATAAACGCCAGCAGGAAGAACATTAAAATGTCGAAAAGTGCCCGTGCTGGTGTTTAACGCCGATACAGTAGTTTTCAACCGAGAAATATTTTAAAGAACTAATGGACAAAAATGGTCGAAGCCGTCGCCTATGCCAAACTCGATAATTTTTTGATTTTCTTTTACCTGTAAACTGTTATTTCGCGTGTAAAAAATGTATACGTTATCGTCATTACGATCGCTTTCGACATATTTAGGAATAAACAATTCAAACGTAAACGACAAGGATGGGCTCGTTTCTTCTCGGACACAACCAACGGAAGAGCATCCGGAGTCGCGCCATCGAACGGTTTATTACAAATCGATCCTCAAAGCGTCGGTCGTATATACCGACCTTTGGATAATTCCTTAAGAAACGCCTTTTTTCACCGACTCCGATATGCGGCCGCGCCCAGATTCTACTTCCGGGACGAGTTAAAATAAGTCGGAAACCACCGCAGTTCCAGCGGACGTGATTCCAATTCTCTCGTTTAAAAGGCGGGTTAGCGTACGCTACCTGATTTCCAGCGGATTAACCGGTACCACGAGTTATCGAAAAACTCTTATTTGTAATCGTTCGCCCCCGGAAAGAGAGCCCGACGAAGGTGACGAAAATACTTTTATTGGAAAAATATTCCGACGTAGGTAAATACGTAACTCGACGCGCGTATACGCGCTACAAAGAGATTAAAATACGGGACTGACGCCGCGGATTCAGGTGGCGGTGGTGGGGGGCCCGGGCAGCAGCAGCAGGGAAAACAGGTAGAGAGCCACGCAGATCCAGGAGGAGGCCATCTTGACCCAGACGGAAGCCCAGTTCCTCTCGAAGGTTCCCAGGCGCGCCGTTTCCGGGCTGCGAGAAAAGACGCAGAAAATTAGTAAGGGACCGACGCCAGCGGGTAATTTATCCGTCCGAGTAAATAAAAAGAGAGTCGAGAAACACCCACCGGAACCAATGAGTCAGCTGCATCATGATGTAGAGAGAAGCCAGACAGAACATGACGTGGAAGAAAGAGTAGCCGTAGACCACGTTGCCAGCCTCGTTCCGAATCACCCTCTGTCCTCCGTCCTCTTCCACCTTCCGCCACGCTAAATGCAAAAAATAGCTTTTTTAAAAAGCCCGGCCCAAATTTAACCCGCCTTTTTAATTCGGCAGATTTACGTATCGTTCGGGAAGTACCGCCGATTAATTTTACCTTCCTCCGGCACCCGTAGGTCGGAGGCGCTTTTTAAATATTAAACGCGGCAAAAAAATGTAAAATATTACCTTTGGAAGAACGACCGGAACCGTCCGAACGACTTCTCTGAAATGAAAAACCCACGGCAAATAAGTATATTACATATACGCGTACTAATAAATTTGTTCGTCTTATATATGAAACTTTTCGGATTCTTCTTACTTACGCGGTGTATTTCGCGGCACGAGTCTTCTTCCCTCCACCCCTTCCTTTACTAATATTATATACAATGTGTTGCAAAATTTAGACGCGTAAAAGCGATTATTCTAGCATTTTTACCAAGATTTTTTTATTTAAACGAGTCTTACACCAAATCTTTCGGTCATCGAGGTTAGCGACTTCAAACGTTAATTTAGTAGTAGTCGTATTACGTAATTCTCTTATTCGAATGCTACCGCGTGGCATTCGAATAGACCCGCACAAAATATGCTTTCACTTACGCAGTTTTCCAGGGTGCCCAGTTTAAACGTTTGGTCCGAATTTCGTCGGTCGGCGGGTTCTTAGAGTTAACGTTAGAAAATATTCAATCACCAAACTCTTTATACGCTTTCCGTCGCCATCTTTGCCACGTTATAGCGTTTGATTTATCGCGCGCGGTACCCGAACTAACGCATTTTAAAAATTCTGTACACGATTTAAAGAATTTTTTAAATGCGTCATTCGGTGTCTAAACCCTTACGTAAGATAACCTTTCTAGTTATATAAATCAAATACTATAATATAATAGAAGGGTTAGAATCTAATAACCTCAATCTTTAGGCTGCGTACACACTAGGCGTTTTGCGTTGCGTTAAACGCGCGTAAGCTCGACGTTAGACGACCGTTTAGTGGAGCGTACGCACTGGCTCAGTTTGGAAATGGACGCGAAAGTAATTGCGTGCCCCTCCTCCACCGTCGCTATAAAAGACGACGGCAGAGGCAAAGAGAATTTCGGGTGCACCCAATATTACGAGATGGACTGACGCGTGGAATGTTCGCGACGTTGTATCCAAAACTAAGACAAAATAAACCCAAGTTTTTTTAATTTTTTTAAAATATCTATAAAATCCTTTGACGATGACTGGTCTCTTTTAGATTTCATCAATAAATAGATAAGTATCGAAACGATCGTTCTCCATTTCGGCCAACGTACGTCCACTCTCCCCGAAAACGCGCCATCGAATGTACAACAACGTGGCAGCGCGTATATCTCAAAGCGCTGGGCTGACGCCCGCAAAACGCGCGTTTTAAGAAAAGTCTATAAACGCGCGTTTGTGTACGCCTATGCAGAACTCTTGGTTCTTTAAAACGCGCGTTTAAAAACGCCTAGTGTGTACGCAGCCTTACCGTTGTTATTTTCCGCCCGAGCGAGGCCGGACCTACCCGCTAGTATTATTAAAAATAACGGCGGGCCGTTCGATGGTAAGACTCGATGGCGTTTACTTCATTGTACTTTCGCGTAAACGAAAGAAAAAAGTTGCGAATTGGCCCATACTTTTTACAGCGATATATGTTTAGTTGCATTTTCTTCTCGATCCGCGCGTAAACAAAATTAAATTTATTACGTCGAGTGCGGAAAGAAACGTAAATCGGACGTCCGGGAGTCGGAAGTACGACGCGCGCGTAACGCATTTTCGCTAAATCCGAAGCGAAAATACCGAATATTTCTTTGGTTTTTCTAGTATTAGGTTTGACGACCGTAAACGCCGCAAATCCCTAGTCCCTCGCCTGTCGGGCAGAAAAGGGCGCCTACGTACGACGACATTCTCCGATTTTCGTTTGGCGGTATTAAATATTTGGCTATTTAATGCTATCGTTAAAGTTGGGAAACGATTAAATTAGCGACTATCTTAAAATATTTCCGACGGCCGGCGCAAATTACAAAGACGTGGTCCGTACCTTCGAAGTAGGAGTGGTAATTCCCAATCTGTAGGACTGATGAGAAGTGCGTAGTCTAACAAAGGAGAAAAAGAAATACAGTAAGCACTGAATGTAATTAATTGGTAAAAGCGCAATGCCAAAGTGTCTCACGTGGAATAAAGAACCGTGGTGAACATTATGGCCACTCCGATGTAAGAGACGATCCACTCGTTGGTGTCGAAAGCCAGCTGCGACGGGCTGCAAGATTCTTCCGTCGCCTCCAGAAGCGTCCGGTTATTTTCGTAATTCTCCACGTAATCTTCGTCTTAAATAAAAGGCGTCTCAATTTAACACCGGGTTTGGCAATTAAGTCCCGCCTAATTGCCAAAACGTTAATTAATATATCGCTTACGCAAATAATTAGTCGCCGCGTCACAAAGAGCGAATATAAAATTTTATCGCAAATTGGAATTTTGCGACTCGTTTGGGAAGAATTCCGTTTCTTGCCGGTTTTGGAAAAAACAACGAAACCGGGACAAACTTTAAAACGACTGCCTTTGTTCTCTCGTTTCCGAATATCCAACCGGCGACGGGACTAAATAGTCGGTTACAAATGAAAAAATATGTAAAACCGCGTTTAGTTGCGAAGATTACCAAGTACCCACCTACAGGCCTATAAAAGAGAATGATCGAGAAACAGAAATGGTTGCGATAAAAAAAAAAACATTACCCGCATCCCGGCCAATGGCAATTCGTAAAAGTAAAATACGAGAAAGGCAGTTTGAACTTTAATACCAGAACTGACGAAAACGCTAGATAAATTATTTACGAATAAAAAACAGAAAAAATATAGTCTATAAATTTAATGCACGCGTTTACGTAGGAGAGAACTCAAAATTGGAATAAAAGAACGGTGCCACAATAAAGTACAATAACCAATCCTCGGCAGTTGCGGTAACAATTTATATTTTGGGGGCGAAAAACAATTTTATGGGCGATACGGTAAAATCTTGTATTAAGAATAATTAGATATTTTATTGGTTATATCGTACGATAATTAAACAAATAACATTATACTAGTCGTAGTCTATTCGACGCGGTACGAATTTGGCGTTAGCCTCGGCCCTGGGCATCGGAATTTTGAAACGAAGGGGGCGACGATTCGTTAGAGGTTGAGAAACACCGATTTACTAATCGGGCAACGTTTCCTATTCTGCCTATAAGTCGAGTACCTACAACCCACGTCGACTAACGGACGGACTGACATTTTAGTTTCGATTTTGCTACAAAAATGGCGGAAAGTAATTCTATGGCTACGGTTACCCGCGTATAATCGTTTTTTAGTTGTCGAAATCTTTGCTTCGCGGAGACGAAAAATGCAACGAGTTTTTAGTGCATTTGGAAGACGTCTTAATCGTCGAATTACTCCGAAATGCCTGGGTATTGGGAGAGGCTAATTATCGGCTTCCCAGATATAAACTGAAATGGGAATTCCCACGATAAGAATGGAATGTACGGAAAATGAATAAGAAGTAAGGAAAAGGTTTACCTATAGGCTATGTCTCTTCGACGGTTTGTGGGAAAAACTGCAAAGACGGATTAGTACGGCCGAGGCGGACGAATGACGTTTTCAGTTCTCTAAACAGATTCTTCGTTCTTTTCGGGCAATTTAAAATCCAAGTGCCTTTCGAACAATAAACGACTGCGGGTAAACCCCACCAAAATACGGTAAATATTGTGGCCGTTCCAGACAATTTGGCATAAAAATTATCTTTGGTACGTTTACGGTATTTAGAAAATATTAACTATCCGAAATTTTTAGTATCGTATAATGTCTATTAAATGAAAGAAATTTATTGTAATGCGGTTCCCACCGCCGGAGAGATGGCAATTTTAAACTATAATGTTTTTCAATGCAAATGAATATAAATGGCAGTTTTGCAATATGGAGGCTATTTTACTTTCCGGGCCGAATACTTAACGAGGGAAAATATTTGAATCGTGTCAAATTTTTCGCAATCTCCACCTTTTCAGTCCCCCGAACCTAAAATAGTAAAAAATTTTGTAAAATTGTGTGTCGTGTTTCGTTCAATATCCGGGCGGGGGGTAAAGGTTAAGAAACAAAATTTCAAAATTTGGAATGGTAGTTCGTTTGTAAGGGGCATCGGTACTTAAAGGTCGGTGGGGTTATCATCATTTACAATATTACTTAGGGTTTATTTCTGACCGAAATATTGATGTAATAAACAGAGGACGAACAATATAAAGAGGTTCAATAAATATATTAATTTGCTGCTTTAAAATTTATATATCGGTATTTCAAACCGTATACGGGATGACAAAATATATCTATAAACTGATGAAAGCAATTTTAAAAGTTAAATATAACCATTGCGCTTGTATGATTTCTAATTTATTTTTATAATCATCGTTAACTTAATAAGCCGATTGAATTATATTATATCACTCTATAAATAAATAATAAAAAATTACATTAATTATTGCTTAATAAAAATGAATATCTAATTTTTTTAATTACAAAAGTATAAAGTTTTATCGAATTTCATTAGTTACCTCCTTTTCTCGGTTCGCTAGACAGAGCCGACCACGTTAAATAGGTTACGTACGCAGATATGATGGAAGATTGCAAGAGTCCCGCTCTGAAGTCCCCCGTACCTAAAATATACAATCTAATTAATTGAAAACGTCTCTCGGACATTAGTACGAACAATAAATCAAACTTTTACCATCGGGTAGCAACGGTATCACCTTCGACTACCGGGTGACATCGCGGCTCGTAATGGAAGGGGAGAGAGTGGAACGGGTAGTCTGTTTCGGCACCGAGTGTTTTGTGTGGAGTGCGCTCTTGTACGGAGCGGAGACTTCGACGCCGAGAAAAGTAAAAAAGAAACTAGAGGCATTCGAAATGTGGGTATGGAAAATGCTCAAAATTAAATGGACGGATAAAGTGTGCAACGAATAAGTCCCGGAAGAATTCGCCAGGAAAGAAGCTGGCTAAAAACAATAAGGAAAAGAAAGGTCGATTGGATAGGACACGTACGAGAGGCGAGAAGAAAAGGAAGAGGAAGATGCCGACGACTTAAAGGATGGCATTGGATACGAGAGAATGAGGATCTCGGTGCGGAACGGAGAAAAGTGGATGTAACAATAATGAGCAACGGTATAATTGTAGGTTGGAACATCTTAGATGGCAGTCTGCCACAGCCACGGCCGTACCAAAGGTTCTTCTCTGCCCGTCTAGCTCGATTAATAAAATTTCTCGATAGACGACGTTAAAAGCCGCTTTCGTACGAAATATCAGTTATATCCGTGCCAAGTGTCGTCGTTTTGATAGAAAACAAGTCAAAAGACAGGGAATTTAGAAACTAATTGCCTATTCGGTTTACGTCGGATTCGACTGGCAACAGTGCAGCATTCGGTATCTTTTTGTAATTCAAATAGTTCCAAAAAGAAAAGGAATAAGTTTTCATAAATTTCAAAGTGGACTTACAGAGAGAGAATGGGTAAAAGCAATTAGCGGAAGAGGCTAGTAATTTAAACACATACTAAAATATGAGAAAATATTGTTTTACATCTAGTAATTGAACAAACTATATTCTAGAGTTAAATATATTCAAGAATATAGTAAATAGGATAAACGCATCAATGAATGAATACTTAAATAGCAGTCACGTTTTATTCGTGACAAAACAAGCAAAGAAAAATACAGTCTACAAGAAAAACTATGAAAGTTAACCTATTTGGATTTAGCATAAATTTGCTTTTATTACGAACTTTTCGGGAGAATGATAAAAATAGACACCCCTGGTCGGTTCATTTACAAATACCTAGTAATATAAACACTATACAATGTTTTACATTATTTCATTGAATCTATAAAACATATTACAAATGATTACTGCCTTATAGATTTGAAGGTTTTTCTTATAGCTGTAAATTAACATATTAATATACGATATAAAATTTAACAATCGATAATTAAAATATAAAAGTCATTCGACTGTTTTATATAAAGGTTACGCAGAATAAATTTAAAATATATTAAAAATGTATTGTGTTTCTTTTATATCAATAGTTACTATGGCTTCACTACAAAGCATTCGACTTTGAAGGAGACAGATCCTGTCCTATTTGTAATTTTATGTTTATTAGAGGTTGCCAAGCATCGTCGATTTTTATTCTCGTGTTTAAATTTATTCTACCGTATGAAGGAACTTTTCTAATCTCTAAATGTTTGCAATTTGTCATCTGTCTGTTGTCTGTTTTTTCTTAATCTCAATAACGGAGTTAGCTAAATGAAAGACAAAACCAGATAAAGAAACCTTTGGGACTGGAGACCCGATTAACTATATACGAACTTCCGACGCAAACCGAAAGTCACGTTATCTCAATTCAAAAATTGTCCCCCGAAAAGTGTTAGATCGGCACGACTCTATTGTTACAGGAAAAGTATGATGTACAAAAAGGCCAGACACTACAGTACTAATTTGAGGCCAAGAGCATATATTTTAAATTAAATTAATTAAAAATTGCTGCCCGGCATTGTGACTATGTGGCAATAAATAATTGCTCGTTTTCTTTTAATGTTCTTCTTTCTTTTTTTAATAATTTTTACACTATTGATTAATATTCCGCCATCCGTTTAGGCACCACTGTCGAATTTATGTAATCGTATTTAATTGTCTGTAGATGTCCGGTTATTCTGGTTTATAGTAATCTAGTTTTGCCTACGTAACAACGTTTTGGTATACGACTGCATTCGAATTTATATATTACGTTATCATTTAACATTATGTCATTCTTTTCTAAAACTGAATCTCTGATATTTTTTAATTGCTCTGTCTATGGAACAATTGAGTGTCGGGGCTACGTTGGATCGGGTAAATATAAACGACGGGAAGACCGAGGTGTTTCTCAGACGGACCAAAAAATGATTTTTTTGTATTTTTCGGCATGAAATGAAGTCACGAAAACATTTAAACTGTTAAAGGTCATAGCACCAGGGCTAGATCTTTAACAATTTATGAAGACAAGTGTTCGAGGTTGTAACGATTTGCAGACTACGGTGTCATTACGTTACGCATAGCCGACAAATATCCACGATACCAGAACTACCTCTCACCAGAGAACCCCATGACGTCATTTGGAAACCTAAAATGACATCAAAGTGAAAAATACCACGTGTACGGTACATGCAATCATGTATCTAGTTTATCATCACATTTATCTTAAATGTGATGACAAACTAGATACATGATTGCATTAATCTTCAACTTATTCTAGATGGCAGAGCCCACACAATGGCTTCTCAATTTGTTTTGTGTATTTTGCAGATATTGCTACTGATGAAAAATTAACTTGTTTTTTGTGAAAAATGTTTTCATTTTTATTGTATTGGTTTAGTTTGTATTTGTTATTACCCACCTCTTGTCCTGTGCTGCGGGGATCTGACGATATTCCCTGGGCAACTACTTTGATAGCTAATACTGATTTATCTCTTATGCATCATATAAATTTCTCTAGTAAATACCTAATCACTACTGAAGTTATGATTGATAAAGATAGATTTATAGTTATTAATGTTTACTTCCCAGGTGATTATGATGATAATGTTTTTATAGACGAGCTACAAAGAATAGTGCATGCTTTTTGTGATACATGTATTATAATTGCGGGTGACTTTAACGCCCACTCCCCGGCATGGGGCGGTGACGCTTTTGATTTGCGTGGGGGTATACTGGAAGAGTTCTTTGCAGTTAATGATTTAATAATAATTAATAATCCCTTATCTTCCCCGACTTTCATCTCTAGTAGAGGGGAAAGTTGGATAGATATTGCTGCTTGTAGTGCCAATTATCACTCTAAAATACAAGATTGGAGGATCTTAGATGAAGATAGTCATACTGAACATGCCTATATCACCTTTAACTTGGTTAACATAAATAGTAGTTCAACATCCCCTTATCTTCCTCGCAATAAGTATGCTTGTAACCGGGCTAATTGGCCGGATATGAAAAATTTTCTTGATGATCATCTTATTGATCAATATTCGGAGGACCCTGCTATTGTTAGAGGGCAAATTGATAAAAATATTGAGACTATCATTAATGAATGTGAGCTGTATATACCGAAGAGGATTGTACATAAGAAAAGTGTGCCTTGGTGGACCCCTGAGTTAAGTGTGTTGCGTCGCACAACTAGAAAGTTAAGAAGAACTTACCAGCGTTGCACAGATGACAACGAAAGAATTTTGCATAAGGAGGCTTATCTACAAAGCCAAAGGCAATATAAATACGTCATGAAAACGACAAAAATTCAGAGTTGGCGCAACTTTTGTTCAAGAACTTCTGCTAATCCTTGGAGTTACATTACAAAGATGTGTAGTAACAAACTTCGTAAAACACAAATTCTAACTACTAATACACAGGATACTCACCCTAAAACCCTTATTGAGTCTTTGACGTCACAACTTCTTACATATTGCCCTAATGATGATCCTGACACTGATAATGAATGGCAGCAACAGATACGTAGTCAATGTAATAACTTGATTGACACTGAAAATATTACATCTTTTACTTTTGATGAGGTTAATCGTGCTTTTAAAACTATGGGCCGGGGTAAGGCTCCTGGTATTGATAATATTACTGCTGAAATTGCTTTAGGATTATGGAATATTATTCCTACTTTTCTTTATAAAATGTATAACACCTGTTTAGAATATTCTATCTTTCCTCATGCATGGAAAGTTGCGTCTGTTGTACCTGTTCCAAAACCAGGGTCTGTAAACGATACTAGACCAATTTCTTTATTATCTACGTTGGGTAAAGTTTTGGAGCGGTTAATTACTGGGAGACTTGTGTGGTTTGTTGAATGTAACCAGAGCCTGAGTGAGGCACAATTCGGCTTCCGCCCGCAGCGTTCTGCGGAAGACGCAATTGAGACGGTGATCAACCATGTTCTACATTTGCTCGAGACCCATAAATATGTTTTGGGGGTCAGTTTGGATATTTCCAAAGCTTTTGATAGAGCATGGTGGCCCTTCATTTTATATCGTCTTCGTCAAATCAATTGCCCTTGTAATATTCTGAAAATCCTACAGGATTACTTGAAAGATCGTAGTGCCATTTTAAGATATGGTCAACATCAGGTTTGTAAAAACATCACTATTGGGTGTCCACAGGGGTCCGTAATTGGACCCCTTTTATGGAATATTACCTTTGATGCATTTCTTCTCGAAGACTTTGGACACACAAAAATCTGTGCCTATGCTGATGATGTATTCCTGCTGCTAGGTGGCAAGTCGAGGGCTGATATTGAATGTAATGCTAATACTATGCTCCAACATGTTTTTAACTGGGGTATTAAACATAAATTCCTTTTCAATCCTTCAAAGACTAAAGCTATAGTCTTTAATAAACCTAGACACCCCAATTTGTATCGTCGCCCCCCACATATCAAAATGCAGGGTAATACCATCAAAGTGGAACGTTCACTAAAATATCTGGGGGTTATTTTAGATTTTCGATTGTCATGGGACAATCATATTGAATATATTACAAACCGGACCGGGTTTATTTTTCACTCATTTTCCCAAGTAGCAAAGAAAGAATGGGGCCTCTCCTCTGCCGCCATGTCTACCATTTATGATGGAA